TGAATAAAAATAATTTATTGGTACTATTAATGAATTCTTATTTTTAAAAAAAAATAAAATTATATATACCTATTTCAACTCTATTAAGTATTTTTTTTGTTATAAAAGATTAAATCAAAAAAATTGGTAAGATTCTAATAAATAAAAATAAAATTATAAGATTATGCTTAGTAATAGAATTAATATAAATTAATTTAAATAAATTATTGAAGAAGAAAAAATTATTATATTATATTTTTTTCATTGATATGATCTATCATATTGCCAAAATAATTTATTATTTTTAATCACATAATTTGTAAGAATTTATTATTTTTAATTTTTAATTTTTTTTTCATGCATTTGATTTGATTGTTTGTTTATTAACTAATTTAATACAAAAAAATGGTTTTAGTGGTTTAGTATTAGTAATTATTACTTATAAATGTGACAATATATTCATACAAAAACTCCAAACTAAAATAAGTATATTATATGAATAGTTTTATTTTATAACTTTAGATATTTTTGTAGAAATATTATTAATATTAATTATTATTTGATAGATTTTAATTTCTATATAAAAGATGTTTAAAGCTAAATTCATTGCCAAAAGAGCTAAAAAATCATACATCTTTGACAACCTTATATTTAAATAAGTGATTAAGCTTGATATTACTATAAAATGAATCAGATAATCTTACATATTTGACAACTTTAGTTTTAGATAATTGTTCAAACTTAAGATTATTATCAAATACATTAAGCAACATAATATCTTTGATAACCTTATATTTGAATGGATGCTCAAACTTGACATCATTGCCATATATGTTGGATAGATTTTGGTAGTTGAAAACCTTACATATAAAAATGTATTTTAGCTTGACATTATTTCTATATAAATAAATAAAAAAATCACATCTTTAACAAATTTAAATTTAAACAACTACTTAAGTTTGGCATTATTATCAAATAAATTAGATGATCTTATATACATCTTATATAACTTTAAATTTAGATTAAGACATGTTAAAAATAAAATTTTGGTCAAAAAACTACTATATCTATTTACTTCAAAAAACTAATTCAAATAAATTATAGTAGAATAACATAATTTTTTTTGGAATAAGTTCCTTTTTAAAGTATGATACATAATCTTAATTAAAGAGATTAAAAAATGAGGCATAAGATAGCCTTACACCTCAAAGTAGATTAGAGAAGGAATAACTTTAGAAAAGTAGTACTAGTGAATTCTTACAAGTTACACAATTTTATCAGATAGTTATTTTAGTATTGTGTTGTAATATAACTACATGATAAAAATATAAAATAATAATAATAATAATAATAATAATTGATTAATATTATCTTAGTTCAATAATAATTCAAGACATCAATATAAGGCTTTATAAAAGACTATTAATTTATTTTACTTATCTTTATATTTAATATTTAAAGTTAGTTGGCAACTTTTTCTTCAAGGTTATATTTTATTGTAGAAATCCTTCTACTACCTTAAAAATACCATAAAATGATAAAAATGATGTAGATTAGGTAAAAAGTTAATATAATTGACTTCAAGGTACAGCTAAGTATAGGCTTGTGCTAAAATAATTCTAAGATTGATTGGATTAATACCAAGGAATATTTTTTTGTGAATCATGGTCAAAATCAAACCCTTAGCCTCTAAAATGGTTGCTTAGGGCAAGTTTGGAGGCATTTGTAGATTACCATGTAGGATTGGAGAGCTAACTTTGAGTTGGTTGTAGAAGCAAAAGGTTTTTTTTCATTTAGTTTTAAAATAACTTTAAAAGAGCTATTCAAAGTCAAGATTTGTATTGCCAATTAGGAACTTATATAAATATATTAGAAGAATTTATAAATATAATATATATATATATATATATATATATATATATATATATTTATAAATAGAAAAATAATTTTTCTACATATTTTCTATGGTGAATCTCAATGGAGCATAGATTTTACTATGTTTGGCAAAATTATGCTTATTATGAAAAAATATTTTCTTTATAATAATTTATTTATAAAAAATATAATTATATATTATTTTTAGAAGATTTTGTATAATGGTAAGTATTTTAAGTTTTAAATTAGTAGGTCTTCAAAAAAAATTAAATGTGATTTTTCAAAGGTCATTGTGGAGAAATTAAGTTTAAAGTCAAAAAATGAATTTGTTGTATTATTCATTGACAAATCTTTTTGATGTATTATTGTCCATAATATAAATAAATAAAGTAAGTAAAAAAAATATTTCTTCTATTTGTAACTATTTTTATTTTATTTACTTATCTGTAAATACTTTAAGAATTGTTTTCTTATTTGAAAATTCTCCAAAAAACAAGGACTAGCATTTTATGCTGTTTTATACATTTTAATTAACATCTATACTTGAAATATCTTAAATCTATGACTAATTGTGTATAGTTGATGTGTGTAAAAATTCATGCCATTGTGATAGTGAAAATAAGAGATATCTAATCATAAATACAAAAAAATATTAGATTTAGGATATTTTAGAATTGGTTAGGATTTTTATAGTATATAAAAATTTTCCAATTAGAATGAGATAAAACTTAGCATGCAATTTGAAGCCTTAATGGCCAAGCTACTAACCATTTATAAGCCAAAGTTAATATTTGGAAAAGAATAAATTACTGCCAAAGCTTCTTTATCAACTTTCAACATGGCTGCTAAGGGACATTAATGTGGTATTTTAACTTTCCAAAAATCTTGTAAGTTGAATTGAGCTGAATTTTTATAAAAATATAGAACGCATATAATAGTATTAGTAAGAAAAACTTTCATACCACTTAAATAATCAAGTTAAGAGCTATTCCTTATTGAAGTTTATTGATTAGGATTAAAATTTATAAGAAAGTTTTTAAAATGCAAAAAGATAAAAGTAGCAAAGCAATTAGAGTTTGTATATGTATGTAATTATTAAGAAGATTTTTTTTAGCACTTTAAATTGACATTAAAATATCTTAAGTTAGAATTAGATAATATTCCTCTTGATTTATGAAAACCTATTAGAGTTTCTTAGATAGTTGCAAAATTCAACTTAACCTTCCACAACCAAGTGCTTAGTACATTTTCAAATAAGACAACACGTAATACAATATTAATAGACTTGTTAAATCTTAATTTCTATTAAAAAGTTGATACCTACATGTATTTGTTAAGAATCTATTATTTACCAACTATAATAATTATTATGGATATAATAAAATAATAAAATTTAATAGTGCTCATTCTTTGATAAAAATAATATAAGAATAGCAAAGAAACTTCAAGTATTCTATTGTTCATTTCTATTTCCAACGTTTAAAAGCAAGAGTAGAAAGTGAAGTATTAAGAAAGTACAATAATTTTTTAGTTGACTATAAGGGAGTTGATATAGGAAGCAAGTAAGAAAGTCTATTAGATTCAATTTAATTGACAATAATATTAAGAATCAAATTTTAGAATTTTGAAGTCTTAAAATAAAAAACCAACTTTTAAATTTTATTTGTAATATAGAGAACATATAGCTAACAAATTCTTTAAAAAAATTGACATTTATAAAATTTTCTAATAAAGTATTTAGATTATCTTAATCTTTATATATTTGAAAGAAAAATAAAGATCTTATAAAGAGATATGGTCTTTTTCATATAGATGGCAAGATACTATGTGTATTAGACTTCAATATTAAAAGAGACTCTTGATGCTTAGTAATATTATTAGAGGTATATACTAGATCTAATGGAATGCAAGGTTTATTATTTGAAGTTAATTATAAAGGCTTTAACAATGATCAAATAATTAGGTCGTCTTCTTCTTCTAATATAGAATATCATCAACAACTTAAGAAATTAATCAATTATTTTTGTATAAAATAAATATCAAAATTTGATATTAATGCTAATTGACAAATCTTGAATTTCATAAAATTATGAAATAACTTAGCTGCTTCTTATAAAACTTGTCCCTTAGAAGAAAGAATAATATAACAAATGTTCATATTACTTAAGTAAATAGATACAAATAAAAATAAGAAAAAAAATATTAAGTAGACAATATCTTTTATATAAAACTTCAAAAATAAAATAAAATAAAATGGAACATGCCTACCAAAAACAATCACGATTGAGAGTCAAAGGTGTCAACAAAACCATCAGCCTAAAATCACATCGGATATATTGGCATTACCCAACCATATTTTGCCATTATCCAACGGAGACCCATGAGCATCCAACCAGAAACTAAACATTGCATCAACTGTTATTGAAACAACATAGAACAGAAGGGCGATGAAATCATATTCACAAATTAACAGTGAAGGCCAAACGTTGGTCATATGGTTGAAGCCTGATTGAAGAACAGAATTGTGAGCTGTTTTGCAAAGGTCACAAGAGCTCAGCTTACTAGCTTTCGGCCAGATTTTGAATTCATAGAGGATCATAAACATGAGTCGCCCACGACACCTCAGCTTTTGGGTAGTATTTGAATTTGTAGAGGATCACAAACATCAGTGTCTTGGGCGACAGAGATTGTGGATTCCAAGCTTTGGCTTTTGATGATAACGGTGATGAGGATTTGTAGAGGATCATGAACTTCAGTGACGTAAAGGATTTCTACACAGATTGCAAGACCACGTGGCAGATTGGGTGGAAACATTAAGACCCACAATCAAAAATTCTAAAATCTATTGTAGTATTTGTTAAAAACTACTCTATTATTTGGACCGTTCGATATGTGGAGGCAGATTTTCAGAGTGCCAATTGAAATTATTTGCCATGACGGTGTAGATCGTTGCATGCATACACAGTTGAATCTATTTGCTTCGTCATCAAGTACTGTGACGTGGGACGTGACACGTCTAGCTTGATTTATAGAGAGAAACCACGGCTATTTGGCTGAAAAAGAGCAGGATGGTGTGACCAAGCAAGCAAATGTGCCTTCTAAAATATACCAACTAAACATCCCGATAAAGGGTTCAACCATGCGGGTCTAAAACTGATGACCAAAACTGGTGACCACATTGATGAATTAGTTAAAGAATTGTTCAAGCTGAACAAGACCGATTGATGTGTGGAAGTAATAGCAGTCCATCACAAGCGTGTATATACCCTGAATACTCCTAATTTTGGGCACTGGATACGTATGCAAACTGGTCTAAAATGCAAGTGGTATCATGACATGCGTCCTACTAACTATGCTACACCCTAAAAGGCTTGATGAATGGACATGTTATGGATGCCCTTTTGATACTTGGTACATAAATAGAGTTACAAACCAGCAACAATGCGCATCCCTCCCACGTGCAGAAGATTTTCCCTTGCAATCATTCAGGTACTAACCGCGTTTAAGTCCTGAAAAAGAGAAAGAAACCAGCACGAGGGATGGGAAGAGTTAACGATTTTCCATAATACGACTCCTGATGCTTTTCTTCACAGAATATTATTGAGACCTTCTCCATTCATATTATTAATGTTATTATCTCACTGGTTACATTTCAGGCCAAGGGTTCTCAGATTGAGAGGAAAGCAAATTAACAGAGACGAACGCCCGCAATGGTCCACATGACATTTTCCGGCAGTTCACCGGTTAATATTGTTAATTGTACGAAGTACAAAACAGGTAGATACTACAAGAGAACACACGAGAATAGAGAGGAAAGGACTCTTACCCTCAACCCTTAAGCTTTGCCAATTGGTGCAGCGACATCTGGTCCGATACATCTTTATGGCGATTACTGGACGTTGATAAGTGTAGCTTCCCTCCAGATAAGAGTTTTCACATGCTCAACTGTTAGGCTGGGAAGGTAAGCATCGAAGTCGAACATAAGATGACACGTTGGCTCATCACTTAGGTCGTGAAGCGCTGCCAAGTAAGGATGGGCCAAGGCCTCTTCCGCAGTTATTCTGTTGGATGGGTTAAACCTCAGCATCTTCTCCGCTAAGTCACAAGCTATTGCAGACGTTTGAGGAAACCTCGAAAACAAAGGCTTCCTTTCCTGACCTAACAAAGCCATTTGGATTCTTTGCCGAGCATCTGGATTCTGCAGAAACGACAGGTCCGAAGCATCGGGTGTTCCTAGAAGCTCCGTGATGAGTTTCAAATGATTCACGGGATGCTCTTGCCTTGACCGGATTGGAAACAAAGGTTGTCCTGTAAGCATCTCCATGAAGATGCAGCCCACTGACCACATATCAACAGCCGCTGTGTACATTCGGCTCCCAAGCAAGAGCTCTGGAGCTCGATATGGTCGAGTAACAACATACTCCGTAAGGAAGTCATCCTCTGCAGATGTTCGAGCCAAGCCAAAATCACAAATCTTGAGTAGACAGTCGTTGCAATTGATGAGGAGATTACTGGGCTTCAGGTCACGGTGCAATATATTGGCAGAGTGGATGTATTTGAGACCCCTCAACAGCTGGTAAAGCAGGAACTGGCAATGGTATTCGTCAAGTTTTGTTGACCTCACTATCTGGTGAAGGTCTGTATCCATGAGCTCATTTGCGATATAGGCATCATGAAAGTCCTCAATGTTAGCAGGCACAATGATATCTCTGATGGGAATGATGTTGTCGTGTTCAGTATGGCGGAGCAACAAAATCTCTCTAAGTGTGCGCCTCGCTGTAGTATTGTTCTGAAATGCGTTTCCAATCTTCTTTATGGCCACTTTCTCCCCTGTCTCCCTGTTCGTGAAAGCACACACATCGCCATAAGCTCCATGACCAATGGGACCAATCATTACATACTTGTCGTAGACTTCAAACTTGTCGCCCCTCACATTGTACTGTGTGTACTTCATTCCTTGTAGGGTGTTTGGCACGCTCTCGATCCGTGACTCACATTCTGTATCAGGACGTGAGTCATCCAAAACCTGATCCTCTGCGTCAACTGTCTGGCAGCTTGCTTCTCCAGCGCTCTCTTCACGTGATTCACAATCCATGTCCCCTTGCCGTTCCTCTACAACGGCTGTGTACTCCACATCGAAAGTTTTACAAAGAATCTCGTATTTCATCTCTGTGACAGTCTGAAGTAACGCAAACCAAAACTTCAAGATAAGCTCCATGCGACAAATAAGTCGATCGACCGCAAAGAAAAGTGCTTGGTTTTCAAACATGAAACTGGGCTGTAAGTCCAAAAATACATTTCAAATACTGATGCAGGTTACAAGAGTTCACTTACTTGTGTGCTTTGTTGACTTGATGCTGATCTAATTGCCAACTTATACCTATAACAGAGGATAATGCACACGGTGAACAAAACATCCAGGCAAAAAGAACTCTTACAAGTAACAACCATGAAAAATACACAAGGTGGTTTTGATGCAAGTTTCGCTCGACTTACCCTAAACGTTCATTGTAAAAGGTTAGCGCCCTTGTGTTTCTTTTATGCACAGCTAAAAGTACTGCTTTCATGTTGTTCTGCTCAGGAACAATCAAGGTCGTGTCAGAGAATAAGTGCAAAGGAACAAAATACTGCAGCGAACTAAGGTTGGAAATTCATCTAAACCAATTTTCACCTAAAATGTGTACGATAGAGACTCGGGGTGGAAGCAGACCTTTCGTGCAACCAACTCAAGTAACTGCATTAAAAACTTTCCAAGACCTTTCCCTTGCACTGTTTTCTCCAGCTGTGTCTCATATATATAAAGTACTGGAACCTCGTGTTCCAAACCGAATCTAAAATGGACGAAGCCCACCATTGGGTGACCTTCATCAGAACTGCCCGCTTCAATGGTAGGAGTGCTTTTCCTCACAAAAATGAAGCGCGCTTCAGGGGATACCATTTCCCACCGCTTCATGTTCTCTTCAGCAGGCCATTCATGGGGACCAAATAACACTTCCATATTCATCTGTTCTGCATAAAAGGTAACTGTGGTGAGGACGAGGCATTGATACTTGGCCCAATCCAATAATGTTAAATAATTTGCCATCTGTGGCAACAAGAAGCACATCGCCTTTCAAAGCATGAGTTGTGTGGATGAAGCCTGACCATTAAAAGTTTATGCATACTTTCTTTCGTAGTAGCAGACAGAGCTGCGCCAGACCCAGCTTCCAAGTTCAGTTTTAAACCTGAACCACTAACACTCAATGTCAAAAATAAATACTGTATGAATGATACAGCACTGAGGCATTCATTGCCAGCACTTCTGGGTACCTACTTCAATGTATGCTCCAAAGAGGTAACCGCGAAGTGTTCGTGCAACATCAAGATGAATTTTGTGGAATGTTCTAAAAAGCTACGATGTTTCAATTGCATGAGGTAGACCGAAGATAGTGTTGCAAGACTCACCATTTCGATTGTAAATGAGAAACGAAGGGAACTCCGCTATAGGGTCTGGCTTGGCAGCGGCAGCTCTAACAGCCTTTTCAGCCTCTGGAAACTCCTGATTTCAACAACACGTCAAATGTATCCACGTTCAGTAACTTGTATGGAAGAAAGCCAAGAGAGACCGCTCTAGAAAACTCAGTCAAAGTAAGAAACCTTCCACCGTCCAACTGGGAACCCCAGATCGACAGACACCTCAGCCATGAAACCAATTTGAAAGAGACTTGGTTCAATTCTTCCAAGCAAAGAACACCGGACTGGAACCCACATTGCTGTCGCCAATTACTGGCCGATGATTTCGATGAAGCCATACTTAGGACGTTTAAAGGGAAAATATAATTTGGAGTCAGGTGCGCAATTCAATGGAATCACGAGAAAAAGGGGAAGAAGTTTGAAACCAAGTCCCGGGTCAACGATCTCTCAACAAAACCATCACACCTTCTTCAAACGGAAATTTCTCACCGAAAAACTCGGGATCGTTACTACTCAGCCATGTCCTACTCTCCCAGGGCACCATAGATCGAAGACGACTAATTATCTCCCCCACCGACAAAACGTCCAACCTCAAACCACTCTCACCCCCCCAATAGTCATCTCCTCTCTTCAGCACAAAAAGAATCCTCTAGCATTCATCGAAGTCCAACACTGCAAATGGCCACCCCAATCAACAACAAAAACCTCGCTCCTCCTCCTCCTCATCCTCCTCCTCCCTCTCTCTCTCTCTCACTCCATCTCTCATCGTGCTTAGCAACCATTCACTCAACAACGCACCCACACCAAAAAAAGCAAACACTCCAGGGAAATAACTCACATCTCGCGCACCCAGGAGCTTCTTCTCCCTGGTACTCCCCTCGCCAGAGTCATAATGCTTGTGCCTATCCATGCCTGCCACCTTTTCTGATCGCTGATGCTCCGCAGCCTGAGCGGTCTGTCTAGTTTTCCCCAACTGGCTCCCTCCAGATCACAAACAGCACAGCAAGCGCCGCTAACACCCACACTCCCCTACAAGGAGGACGTGCAGATCTACGCGACTCCAGCACTCACTCAGCCCAGACAGACAGACAGACAGACAGACACTGCGAGCTCGAACACGACGAGGGTTTTGTGCAACGGTTGAAAATGGAAATGGAAACAGGGCAGGATGTCCAGGCTCTCGCTCTAGGAGGCTACACGGGCACGGTCATGGAAGCCCGATCTTGTCCCCCCCCCCTACCACCGCACCAGGTCATCCAACGCCACGCTGCTCCGAACGGAAAACTGCGGATGGTGACCGCGTGGCTCCGTCAGTCGACTTTGGATGAATGCAGTGCAGAAGTGGGAACGGACTTTGATGCCTTCATGTGAATAAAAGTTGCAGCTCGTGAATGTGAAAGGGGTTCCAGAGTTGCACATAACATTTTTCGCATGTAGTGTATTTGGCCATTTCAATGTTTTGGGTTTTATTTTTACGAGTGCACATAGAATGCATGCAAGGAACTTTATGTTAAGTAAGAATATACATATAATATACATACTTGACAAATTGTTGTGATTTCACAGGTGGGATTTGAACAGTCAACCTTCCCAATATTGTTTTTTTTCATATTTAGGGTAAAACATGTCATACAAGGGCAACTTAGGATCATTGTATACCAAAAGTGTTAATATCTTGGAAATAGTTATTTTTTTAGTACAAAAAATATGAAATAAAAATAACAAAGAAAACATAATAATAATAATAATAATAATGATTCTTTTTTTTGACAATAAGTAAAGTAAAACTTATATATATATATATATATATATATGGAATTATTAAGGACCACAAGTTGTAAAATTCACTCCAATAGTACATTTAAAGTAGAGGAAAAAAAGGTTAAAAATTCACTCTTTGACAAACAAACACATTGAATACACAATTTTATAATTAAATCTTCTTTAGAAAGGTGTAATAAGTTTATAAAGTACTTGTCATTATTATAAATTCAATTTCGAGAAGATCTTTGCAGTATTGGTTTGAAAGAGATACTCATATATGTATATATATATAAAGATATAACATGATTTAGTAGACATCTTTAGTATAGAATATGTAGTAAGAGAATAATTTATTATGTGTATGTAGTTGATTCATTACAAGTGTAGATTCAATGCATTGAGTGAGTGGGATATATTGGTAGATTGCAATTCTTTTTGTATGAATAAAAATATGGGAATGATAAAGCAACCCAAATTTTTATTAAATCAAACCACTCTATCCTAACCATCATTACATCCTTGTAGCTCCCATCTTTGTTCCCAGTCATTCCATATTATCAATTGTTATTAAAGGTTGAAGTAGAGAGTTGGATACATTGGGAACAAGGACAATGGTTGGGAACAAGTATTAGACATGTTAGCTAAGTTTGGTATTGATTTTAATACACTTTCATTGTTTTTGTTATCATTTACCTTTCAAATATTTCAATCTTTATAGCATGTCTTTTATTACTTTGAAATTAAATATTACTTCTATCTAAAAATTTGTATTTCTTTAATTAAATTTAAAATAGTAATTCTAAAGATATATTTATAAAAATTTATATTCCAGAAATAAATTCACTTTTATACACTAAAATTGTTTATTACAAGAAATTGAAACTAATTCACTTTTAAAAAGTGAAAAAAAATTGGATACATCAAAAAAAAATTGAGGTCAACCATCTAATTATAATATCTAAAAAATATACATAATAAAAAAAACTGTTGCCACTTCTAAATTAAAATATTAAGATGAATCTTTAATATCTTATATAAATATTTATCTTTTTTATATTAATTTATTGTGGTTTTTAATATTTTCTAAGAATTTTAAGTATATGTATAACATTTTTCAAAGACTAGCTTATATTTGCAATAGAATAAATCCATACTTACAAGATAAATATGTAATTTGTAATAATTAATTTTAACAAGTATTTATGATGAAATAAAATAAGTAATTTTTACACAATAACATAATTTGAATATATTATTTAACTTGGATGTCATATAAATAATTTAATTTAATATTTTCTAAAATATATTTTATTTATTTATTTATTTTACTTTAGTTCAATAAAAAAAGAATCTAAATAATTTATATATTTATTTATCAATTATAGAAAAGATAAAAGTTGTGATAATTCAATAATGAAAATTATTTTTTAAAGTTTTGACCAAAACATAAAGAAATAAGATATATATATATATATATATATATATAATCACAAACAAGTCCTACATTGTATATTATATATAAGACATTTTTAATGCCACAACAACCTCTCATCCATCATCTACCACCTTTACTCAATACCTTTCAAATCACTAATTAGAGTAAAATAACTAATGAAATATGTTGAGTAGGTGGTAAGTTGTAGTGGCAGTGGCAAAAACTAGGATAGCATTGGCAAAATCCTCTTTCTTTCTTTCTCTCTCTATGTAATAATAATAATATAATTTTGGAAGTTTTTAATACTTAATTTATTTAATAAAATAAATTATTTTTAATTTTAGATTCTTACAATTTAAATTATATATAGAATAATTTTTAATATGAGATTGAAATTAATTTGATTATATTTCATTAGAACTATATATATATAAAAAATATTTAAAAAATATTAATTATTTTAAACATATTGTATTATTGATTCTTTAAGAATTTTATACTCATAAAAAAAAAAAAAAAATTAATAAAACAAAAATTATAAAAGATCTTATTTTTTTTTGATCTTATAAACCTCAAATTATTGAACATATACTTTTTTTTCATTTAAAAAAATAAGATAAAAAGAAATAAAAACTTTTTGTAATAAATATTAAGATTGTATAATTTTGATAATAGAAATGATCAATCATCTTGATTAAAGCACATATAGTAGTATAATATTTAAATAAATAGTTTTTGATATATTTTAAATTATATTTTATTATAATTATTAGCTATTTTTTGACTTGTCTAAGTGTCTTAAGATCTGAGGAAATTAGACATAGATCTAACATCTAAATCGAAGAGTAAGAGTGACAATCAATAAATTTAAAGCATAGTTTGAGTTGTTTACCTTACAATAAATACTAAGCAATCTTATTTTAGTTTATTGTTATAATATTTCTTTATAACAAAAAATTCTTACTACAATCAATTTTCACCTCTCCAAAATACATAAAAGAATTCTTTGCATTAATATATCATTTTAAAATCAAAGAAAAATACCTTAATATATGTACATATACATATATAATTTCAAAGAAAATCAATATGATAATATCATGTATAAATATTATTTACAACTTGTAGAGTGTTGTTTTATAGTGGTTTCAATTATGTAATGATTTTTTTTATAATATTTATTAAAACTTATCAAATTGATATAGAAACAAATTAATTTTTAAAATAATAATTCAAATTATATGCAAAAAATAAAAAAATAAAAAAATTAGAAAAAAAGTATGACATAATTGAATTGTATTAAACTACATGATTAAAGTTTTGTTCAAAAATACAAATATCTTCAAAAGTTATAACATATACCAAAATTTTAAAACAAATTAAGAATATTCAGTTTAAACTTACTCTTCTCTTTATTTATATTTTTTAATATAAAGTTAGTAACTTCTTATTTGATCCTTTAATTTTTTGTAAAATATAATTTCAGAAGTATATTTTTATAATTAATCAATACATGTATAAAAATTGAACAAAATTCATTGAGCAATCTCTTATTATATTTATTTTTATAGGTTTCTTGTATGAATTTTTTTAATTTTAAAATACTAATACACATTTTTTTCAAATTTTTAAACACTCAAATAATATTACAAAATATAATATTTATGTATCAAGGATTATCCTTTGCTTTGCACAATAAAATATTTACATTATTTTAATAGATAATAAATATTTTTTCTATTTATATCTAAAATAAGATACATATATATATATATATATCAATTCATATTTTTTTATTAAATTTTTATTCTTGTTTTGATTTTCAAATGATGATTAATTTTTACAATATTTGTTTAATGTATTATAAAATCATTCAAATATGTACAATTAAAATCATCTTTTATTTGTTCCTGTTATTTATTTTACTTTTAGTGTATTCATTGTAACAGAAAGAATATAACACCATCTTATAAATACTTCAAAGATGAATATATTGTAATATAATGAGAATGCGTTTGTTACCTTTAATACACAAAGAAACTATGTAAATTTATTATTGTTATTATTATAACTTACACATATGTATAATTTATATGAAATCTTTGAATACAATAATTTTAAGTATATAAATTGTAACCTCTCACATGTAATATGACTCAATTTACAAGCACACACAAATTATTACATTCACACCCATTATGTCTATATACACAGCCAATGCCTTCAATTGGCTGCTCTAGGCTCCTTCTTTTTTGTCCCAACAAAGGTCTTGGAACTTCTCGTATTCTTTAATGTATGTATAGCAATTTTGGGTGTGCTTGTAGCCTGAGCCAAGTAATATTTGTGTGTCACAAGTACAATAACTCTAAAGATTTGCACTAAATCAAATAAGAATCTTTCGTGTGTGAAAGGGGCTTAAATGCAGGGCCGGGCTGACGGAAAGGAGGAGGGGGGGACAGCAGTGGGGTTTGAATTTCGTGGGACTCCGACAGCCCCACCAGCTGCCTAGAAACTACGCGGATTGACAATCCCTGAACACGACCAGGTGTGCGAGAATCCACGCAGCAACGGCACTAGCAGAGCAGTTGGGGGGGGGGGGGGGGGGAGAGCAGCAATGCGGTGGGTGAGGATGCAACGGACGGAACGCAAGGAGCTGCGTGGATCCCAGCGCCTGGCGCCACCGCCCTTTCCCCAAAACGCTATCGGGTTTTCGGGGCCAGACTTGGCCAGATAATCGCAATAGCCACACAAACTAGCGACCATTCATCACCTGCGCCTCCCAATCCCGCCCGCCTCCCCCATTAGGAGTAACGGTCTGGGCAAAACCCCCCCCTCGCTCTCATTCAGCTTTTGTCTCCACCCGCACTGATGTTGGCGTCATTGCCTGATCGGTCGGTAGTCGGGGCCTGACTTCGCGGCGGCCAGACCACGGGAAATTTATAAGCAGTGGCCTGGCATCCAC